TAAGTATGCTCATATTAACATACCATTATCTTTCTTTATTAGATGTACCATGTAAAGCAAAATAATCAAATAATCATAAATTAATTGATGTTCTTAGTCCACTATGTAAAAGAAAAGGTTTGCCTTAAAAACGGGAGCAATACTAATAATTATTAACATACTTTTTATTAAAATAAAATCTTGTGTACTCGTTTTAATTTAAAATTAAAGAGTATTCACAATTAATGCTGCCACAGATGCCTTATATCACACAACTGCTAGGTTCTAATAGACAAACACAATTTTTATCTTACTTTATGAAAAGCTTTCATTCTTTATCTTTGGGTGAGAAAAGAAATCGATAACTTCTTCAATTTCCGTTACAATAACAATCATAAAATAATGAACAGCGCTAGACTGGATTTCATGAATGGAAAAATTTTACCACCACATTTCACACCATAATTCAATTTAATTTAATTAATGAATTATCACTAAACTTTTCCCTGTAACTACAGTTTTGAATTTAAGTATGTTTCACTTGATTTTTCTTTCTACAATTTTCTCAATGCATCGCATTGCATTGCAGATTGATTGTCGCAGGCACGAATGCGCGAGAGAGACAGGCAGCACAGAAATGACATTGACGTCTTAACTTTCGTTTAGAAATAATCTAAATGGATAAGTACATTTACATTAAGTTTACATTAGATTCTCTAGATTATCTATAAATAGAGTGAAGTGTTTTTATTATTGTCACTATTTAATAAATTGTACTTTCACTATCGATGTCTCATTGAAGAAGCAGAGCAAAAGAAAACATATTGTGTTTTATTTGAACTCTTTTATCAATGATCTGCCTTTATGATAAAATAAACCCACCTTTCCTTTTATTGTATGTGTGTAGTTTTGTGATATTTTGCGAAACAAAGTGTTGCACAATAATGGCCTAGCCTGTATGTTACAAATCCCTTTGCCTTTTTAATTGTAACAACTGAGAATCGAACCTTTGTTTTACTACGAGCAAAGATTGCAATATTATACTGGAGAACTACGAGCACGAAAAGTAAAAGAAAAAAGCTATCGCCAATTCATAACATAAATCCCAAGTCGCACAAACATTCATTAGTGCTTATCTTAAACTGGTCATTAGACCCCTAATAGACGTATTATGGCAAAAAATTGAAACCACAGAAAACCTATATTACAATCACACTACACATTGCATATGAGACGCAGAGAAGGTCGTAATAGTCGTCGTAAAGCATGGGAAAAAAATTACTAGTATCAACGTTCGTTAAAAAAATAAACCCACGATGCATGGCAAGCACTACTAAGTTACTAAAATTTACTTGTATTAACTTTGAACTATAGTTTAAGTTTATTCTGGTTTCTTTTGACCTTTTCACAGTAGAATGGCATGGCGTCTCAAGGGACTCAAGAGTTTGTTGTATGGGAGCTCCCCTTTAATATTTTTTTTAAATTTTAATTTAAATATTTACTTTTAAAGTTACTATGTAAATACATATTTTGTAAATATATCAAGTGTCTACCTGTTGTCGTTCTCAATATCGAACAAAAACAGGCAAAATTATCACGTGTGTTTTATGAGAGCCCCCTTAAATATTTTATTCTGGTTTATAGTATTTGTTGCTGAAGTGGAAACAGAAATACATCATCTTTGTGGTGCCAGACAGACAGCGAAGTCTTAGTAAAACCTTAATTAAAACGAGATTTATATTTCTCAGTGTTATACAAAGTTGTACGCAGGTACCTCACTGTCGGTAAGATTTCTTCATTCGCTCTATAAAATAATAATTTATGTTTGATAATAACTTAAAATTATTATGCTAGAGTAAAGAGTAATTTATTTGCTAGAAATCCGGTTTACAATAAAGATATTAGCAAAAGAATAGTCCAGGCACATTTCTCTATAAATATATTTAAACTAAGGTATCAAATATAAATATTATTTTATCACACATGATTTATCATAGATTCCGAAGTAGAATTATAATGCACTTGGGTCCTATATTTAATTTAATTTTTTTTGACCTTGTCATTGCCATCTAGTCAAATGTCAAACTGAAAATACACTTATTAAAATTTTAATTACACGCATTATTTTGTATAAATACTGGTAAAAATTCACTCCATGGCAACGATATCCACACGACCTAAGTCCCCAACGCGTGCTGAGGCTATTGCTACAGCATTAAAACCTGGCCCAATTTACAACACAGGAGTGCTGTTAGGCAAGTTGTTATAGGCGTATATAGATTATATTTTTAAGGATAAAAAGGCTATAATCTAATGGTGTAAGTGCTTAGATTAAAACGAAAAGAGGAATCAAACAAATAATTAGTGCCGTAATTTGTTTGATAAACAACCTTTAAATATGACCACTGTAAATGTGATATATTACCTCTAGGTATTTTACTCACAAATAATTTATTATATCTCATCACTCACGGTGAGTTGCACTCAGTGTACTGTTTACTGAGGGCCAAACTTAGAATCGGCCGTGGGTGGTGGTGTGCAGAATCCTCAACGGACGGAGAAATAAAATCATCTGCCTTACACACTTTAACCAATAAAAACATTATTATATTTGATCAATTTTGTATTCCCAATGCTATACTAATAAAATTTTTAATGAAACATTCTTAATAAATCCTCTTTGTCCCTGGTGCTCTGAGATGAAACTCGAAGCCATGACTGTGTGCTTGAAAAATACGTCAGTCTTGTTAAATCCTGGGTAGCCCAATGGGTAGAGCAGTCGCCCGAATTATTCGTCATTGTTATTACCTCAAAACAAAAAAGTGCGTGTTGATACTCAGATTGTAAGTCAAATTGAGTCTGTTGCAAATAAAAAACGTGTTTGTAAGAATTTGGTTTTATTCATGGGCCCATAAAAAAAATTGCTACAGGCCCCGCTCTGGCTTAATCCGGAACTGGCAATTAATAAGCATGGTCCACTATGTCATGTAGAGAATAAATCTGCAAAGTTGTTTTTAATCGTAGGTAATTGGGTTGAAGATAGAATAGAATGTCCCAAGGGGGGCACGTTTTATTTTCCCCCAAAAGAACAAATTGATTATGAAAAGCTGAAACCAGAATCAAGGCAACCAGATTTTCGACTGAATAAACTTAACAGTTTACAGGTCAGGAACATATTCATTAATCGATATGATTTGAAAATAATTTCATTAAAATAAATACTACAAAAATTGCTAAGTCAATTTTAATAGGCGTTATATTGTTTACATTTTATATGGTCGCGGACCAGTACCTGGGTATCAAGTGATATGATTATTTTAAAAAAAGCAAACAGTTAATTTTAGTTTTAATAATTTATCTATATTTTAGATTGTCTAATTAGGTGAGTAAAAGTTAGGACTAGGTCTTACTGTACCAGAAACGAATTCAGGTTGGGTCACGATAAGGGCACCATATTAAGATTAGCATTAGTAAAAAACCTCATTTATATTCCTGCTCTTTCTTTCGGCACAGATTACCCCTAACGGATCCGCTGTTGACTGGTGGTAAATTGTAGACACTCTATATAGTAGCAATTGGTTTTGACCCAACATTATTAGACGTAATGATAATATGAATCTTGTTTCCAGGGAAATGTATATTCTACTATTCGACATGATAGTCACGATGTCTGCGGAAACTTCGCTACTACGAATGATCTAGTTTACAATCACTTGCCAAAACCTCTATGCGGACCAAATCAACGCTATTATAAACGTAGCGCCCACCAATTTTATCCCCAACCCGATCTTATGAAATGTTTTGTAAGTTAAAGTTAACTTTCTTTTAAAATAAACATAAATAAATATTAGATAACATCACATACATTACGATTACGAGGTGAGTAGCTAAAACCCCGTATTATGGAGTAAGCAACAACGGTGGTAGTATAACTTTAACTTTATTATATTATTGTTATTTTGGCGGATGGCTGCAGCCATTTTGAGGCCCGCCCGGGAGGACCACCCCATCCGGCCCCCCTTAGTCCGCCAATGGTGCACCGCTAAACTATCAAAAAACCTTATAAAACCCGTGCAGTTGTGGTATCGGACATCGCACCGTAGTCTCACACTTTGGGATGGCGCAGTGAGCAGTACCATTTCGAACTTTTCCTCCTGTTAGTTTTGGCTGCATCTACCGTTGTTAGCATCTACACATTCGCATTGCATCCCGCGTAGTGGGGGATCTCTTTCTCTCCAAGAAAGTCCGAGAGCCTACTCTTTCCAAGAGCGAAATTAAAAATAGTTCTTATAATTTTGTTAAAATTATATTGAGGATTATAGATAGAACCTCTGTTCTGCATCTGAATCATAAATTTATCGAAAGTTTATCGTTTTGAAAATAGACTAAATATCATTTTCGGAGAAACAGAGTAGGCTTTCTGTACCCCAATAGGCCGATCATGAGATACTTAAAGCATATTTTTAAAGATATTCAGATAAGAGGAATGTGCACGCATTACATATCTTGTCTATTTTCGAATTAAACTATTTTTTTTTTCAGGGTAATCTAACAGAGTGGGGATTAAGAAAATATAAACAGTACGAGTGGGCTTGCACAGACGTTTCAGACTATATATCCGGTTTGTACGAAGACACATATGTGCCACCAAAACCCCATCAGTACCTTCAACGATGTGAGCGAAAAGCTCGTAATTCGTAAGTGTATAAGGTTTTTCTCAATATTTAGTGTATATTTCAATTTTTACGCTTTAGGTGAGTTCTGAAGAACCTTTTAAAATAATGAATTTTATATGATTATTTTTAGACATTTTAAAATTTTTGATCGCTAGTGATCGCAGACTGAAAGCATTCTCTATTCATGGTACCTATCGTTGAACTACACGGTTAATGTCAATTAGCATGTGGTTAATCACAGTTTTTAATTAGTTAGCTAGTAGGCATCGTAGCTATCAATTAAACTGCTTTTTCAAACAATTGGCTTGCAAATTTAAAATGAAAGATAATAATTAAAAGACAATTTACAATATTAATTTATTGCAGGAGCTTCACAAAAAGTTTCAGATTTAAAATGACAAAATCAAAACAATGATAAACATCAAGAATCATTTTTCTGCACTTTTTGCAAAATTACTAGTCTTTACAATATCACATTTTGTTCGAGAAGAGGACAGTGACGTCCATATAAAATTGTAACAATACAATAATTCTTAATGCTTTCATATAGCCATCACCTGGCACCAACACGAGATCAGCAAAATATTCTTAAATCTATGTTTAGTCTCAAATGTTACGACTATTAACCACTTACTTACAACTATGTGATATAACTTAACAAGATTTTATTCCTATATATAACATTGGCAGTTCATTGGAACATAAAAAAAAAGTATATCAAAGAATAAAAGGCAAAATAAGAGTCAAAGAAATCATAGAAATGTCACACAACCTAGTTGTTGTTTCATTGTGAGAAAGAGTTCACCTGTGGCAATTTGATCAGTCCAGACCCACCAGGGGTTTTGAAGTTATCGTGAGGCACAAAGCCTTGTCGCGGTGGTGCAAATATGTTAGTGGAGGTTATATTTTGTTGAGCAAATCGGGGCTGAGGTATGTGAACATAACTATTATACTGCATTTGGGGATATACAGGTGAGCTTACATGAGAAAAAGTCTGTGGAACCTGATAATTTCTATAACCAGTTTGATTATTATAACGGCAGTTATCGACTGCCATGGGTTCACTACATATTGACTCCTCGCGTGAAGGGGGTTGCGAGAATACGTTACGTTGATTTAAACTAGAAGCCTGAGACTCAAACCCTGAACTTTGACTTGAAGAACGACTACCGTCAATGTTAAACATTTGACGCTCTCCATCCGATCCCCAATAGCCTCCGGCGACCCAGGAAGTGCTGTGGCCTAATTTGCTGGGTGATATCAGTGGCCTAGCCCGATTTAGTGGTGTAGGAGCAACAAAACAAGGAGTGGCAGTGAATTTTCTTAGAGTAAATATTGAATTGCTGTGCCTGTTTTTCCTGGGACTGCCTATACACAAGGTGCTGATGCTCTCATCTAATTCTGAATCTGAATCATCCTTACTGAGCTTCTGATATTTATCAAAAGATGGTTTAATAAATACATTATCTGATACTGAGCTTGGACTTTTGCATGTAACAGAATTTACACAGAAAGTTGAATTGTGTTTGGGTTTATTCCACAAATTATCATTGCGTGGGGTGAATGATCTGCCATTTAGAACAGTATTTTGAGGACATATTGTCTCATGAGATGAATCTGTAAAACTATGTAGCCCAAATTTACAAAGGGATATGTCATCATCAGTATCTAAAGATAAATTGTCTTCTTCGTCAATTGATGAAGTAACGGTTCCATTTATTAAATTCTTCACTTTCACTGGAGTTATTAAAGCTTTTGAAATCCTGCTCTTGTTTTTCATTTTCTTATATACTAATAATACAGCTAAGACACTTGTCAACTGAAATGAAAATTAATTGATTAATTCATTGCAACACTACATTAACACTATAGAAACAGTAAACATTGATCTTACCTTAATTAAGCTCATAAATATTGGGTCTATAGATTGGGTTTGGTGCACTATAGATGTGAAAACAAATACTGACCACAGTAAGTCTATTATGATTGTATAATTCAATTTATTAATATTCCATAAATGTCCAATGATTTGTATTAAACATACAAAACCTCCTAGAGCTTTCTGTGTCAGTGAAAGATGTCCTTCTATTTCATCTAATGAATACAGTTTTGGTATCAGGTTTTCCATCACAGGCATTTCAAAGTAAAAATATTTTTCTAGCGATGGGAATGTCAAGATTGTCTTCATTTTAATTATAGACACAATCCTGTCTATAAGGCCTAACATTATATCTACAATGTTTCTTATGTTACTAGGTAAATTTTCAAACTTCAATGCATTCAAGTAGCACTCAATAGAAACAAATATCACCAGTATGCCAGCAATAAACATGGATGTATTATTGATGGTCGCTTTAAATAATTGTTTTTGCTTTACTTGTTTTTGTTGTCTTTTATCTGGAGTTCTATTTTCCAAAAGTTTTGTACCTAAAAGTATTTCTTTCTCTTTATGTAATTTCAATTGCAGTACTTTTCTGCAAGCATTACATAACTTGTACGCTTTTTCTAATTGGGCCCTGAAAAGAAAAAGACTTTTTGTTACTTTTCAAAGTAATTGCATGGCTCACAAAAAGTTATTAATATTAATAGCAACAAAAATGTTAGCAATTTAATTAATTGGACACCATACAATATTTTGATAACTATGAACAATTTTATAAACTTTTAAACTTTCGCGTTGCATTATATTAGATTGTATATGACGGGTATTAATGCGATTATAATTCTGATAGTTAGGTTTTTCTCCTACCTATATTTCGAAGATAGAGAAGATAGAGAAGATGAGACGTAGCATCACCTGTGACCACGGCCGGTGCAACCTGGTCGAAACGTCGGGAAATATAGGTAGGTGAATAACCTAACTATCGGAATTTTAATCGCATTAATACCCATTGTATACAATATAATATGAACGATTTTATTTATCCTGCTTTCAATATCCAGGCAGCTTGTAACATTTTTCATCTGCTTAATAACAATGTATAGCTAATAATAGTTAAAAAGGTAAAGTAATTCTTTATACTGGAAACAGTGGGATATTACAGAAAAAAAAAATATCTGTAAATATAAACAGCAGCAGTACTTGAGAATTTAAATAAGGTTCTTTCTGTGATGCCTCACCAGAATGATTCAAATAAATGTTGCTATGTAATTTGTTCTTATTACAATTTTAAAAAACCTTAGACAAGAAAATTTCAAACTAAAGAAGGTCTTATTCTTGTTGTGGATTTTAAAGTTGCTTTTGGTGCAGAATCTATTGTACCACACTCTAAACTGAATTAAATCCTTTCTAACTTTAATTTGGGTTTGTTTTAACATTAATCCATAGTCTTACATAATCAAAGAAATATTTAATTATTAGTGTAAACTACAATTTAAAAGTTTACTTCTCTTATATTACTTTTCACAACTGTAATATATTTATTTAAACTGTCCTTGACAGGACTAAATCAAAATTTATTTTGTTAATAATTCAAGTTTGAGCATTAAAACTGTTAACTGGAAGTTAAAATGGAAATATATTTCATTAGTTTTATTATTGTCACAGTTATATAATAATTAAAATGTTATTTAAACATTATAAATAAAAAATAATAATATGTAAATGTAATGTAATTTTTTGCCCAAGTGATTTTTTTATATATTCATGGTCTTTTCAGTTATTGATGAACCTTTATATAATGACACTGAACATAAATGATTAAATTATACTTACTTGTACGATTCTATTTCTTCATCAAACTTTTTCTCATTCATAGGAACAAAATTGGCAAGCTGAACTACTTTTAACTGTTGGTTTATATTGCACATTTTACATAAACCATTTCTTGGAGGACTCGTCTGAAATACTTTAGGGGACTTGATCGTTTGATCTGAAGAATTGAATAATGTTTTGTTGTAGTCTCCATCCTGTGAATAATATGAATAGTTACAAATATGACAGAGAACATTTTATCAAAGCCTGAAAAATTCTAACCTTTGTAAATCCATTGTATTGTTCGCATTTTGGGCACGTCCAGTTATTGCGATTCACGTATTTCATCCAGAAATTGTTATTACAGAACCAACAATTGACACGCCAAATTAAGATTGACCTGAAATAAATCTTATCTTTATTACGTTTTCCAGGCGGGAAAGTAGCTCTGAGAAACTGTCAACTTACCGTAGTTTATAAAGCAATTTCACTAATAATATACTACATAGAATTGTGGCGATAGCAACGAGTGCTAATTCCATATTAAAAATTATATTAAATTTTGGATACATTTCTTTTAATTTACAAAACCATTTCGTCTACAATACATAACCTACAAACACGTTTGCCCACTTTACTCGTACCCCCTTCCCCTTTTGCTATTCCTTTCCTCCTCTCACGCTCCTCTCCCTTGAACACTTCTCTTTTAACTTTGAGCTCTTTTTGTCATAGAGTAAATTGTACCTATTATAAATAAAGGTAATTTTTATATGTATAAGGGATCTTAGTACATTCAGCCTTATCTTTGAATTTTTAACTAATCGATAGATTATAACAATATAATTAAATTCTCAGCAACCGATAAAAATATTTAAAAGTTTCATTTACATCACTAATTATTCCTTATTAGTATCATTAATCATTAGGGGTGTTCACTTAAAAAATATATCGATATAAATACTCGATATAAAATATCGGTAACTGACATCGATATTTTTCGATATATCGTATAGAAACATCGATATTTTTTAAATATCGAGTATTTTTTTGAAAATTTCAATGTTTTCCTTTTTTAGGCCCACTTGCAGTAAAATTTCCAAAATCTCGATTTAATTAAATCCAGACTTAGCCTTAAACTCGACTTAACTTTAATCTAACTAAGTTATCTTGCAGATCCTAAAATCATGACCAGTTTAACTAAACCGAGATTTAGCATATTATTTGTTCACCATTCATTCCTTATGTTCCGTTTTTGATGAAGAGACTAGAGTCAAGCGCCATAAAATCAGTTTAGAAAAACAAACGTCATCATCGTTTTTATCAAAACTCTATATCAACATACATTTTTTTGAAGTCGCCGCGCCGTTTCATCATTCATAGTTATTCATAAAGTAGAGTAAAACTGTTTATTAATAACTCAAAAATACCAATAAACCGTTTGTACTGCCGAACTAAAATAATAAAAAGATCCAGGGCACCTAATTTCACAATTGCTGGAAAAATGCACCTTTTAAAATAAGTGGAGAAATATCTTATTATAGAAAACAAGAAAACAGATGGGGCTACAACAAAAGATTAGCAATTCAAAGTCAAAGTCAAAGTCAAAAGTCAAAATAATCTTTATTCAAATAGACTTCTTAAAAGTACTTTTGAATCGTCCAACATTTTTTCCCTACCACTCGTTCAGGACGTCTTTTGGCTGATAAGAAGAACGAGCAAGAAACTCACCAGCTCTAATATGAGTAATGACATTTACAAAAACCATGTCATTACCAGATCAATACATTATAAACAGAGATAAAAAAAAAACTATGGTCTTATAATAATAACATAATCATTTAATAATAATGGAAACAAGATAATGAGTTTAGAAGTAATCACCTATCCAGTTGCTGGATCATCTCAAGTCCAAGCGTTCTTATCTGTTACATAATCGGATACCTTATAATAAGCTTTTTTAATAAGTATTTTTTTAATAGTAGATTTAAACTGCATGATATCTAATTGTTGTATTTTGCTTGGGACCTTATTGTAGAAGCGCACACAAAGACCCTTGAAAGAGTTATTAACTTTTTGCAGTCTAGTGACAGGCACCGTTAATTTATTTTTATTTCTTGTATTAAAATTGTGTACATCACTTTTAATAGAAAACAAACGAATATTTTTACGAACGTACATTAAGTTCTCGTATATGTATTGAGAAGCAACAGTCATAATGTCTATTTCCTTAAATTTCTCCCTTAAAGAGTCCCTAATCCTAAGATTATAAATTGATCGAATTGCTCTTTTCTGAAGCACAAAAATTGTTTGTATGTCGGCAGCATTTCCCCACAATAGGATACCGTATGACATAACACTATGAAAGTAACTGAAGTATACTAATCTGGCAGTATCTATGTCAGTTAACCTACGTATCTTCATTACGGCATATGCTGCAGAGCTAAGTCTACTCGACAATCTATCAATATGTGGGCCCCACTGTAGTTTAGAATCTAATGTTATTCCTAAAAATACTGTGGTATCCACAAGGCCCATGTTCTTATCTTTTACATTAACATTTATATCTACTTTTTTAACATTAGGTAGTACAAATTTTAAGCATTTTGTTTTTCCTTCATTAAGGAGAAGATTATTTACATTAAACCAATGTACTACTTTAGCGATAGAATTGTTCACATCGTCATTTAGAGGTAACCCTCTTTTAATTTTAAACAAGAGTGAAGTGTCATCCGCAAACAAAACTATTTCGTGATCATCCCTTACGAAATAAGGCAAGTCATTTATAATCAAAAACAAGAAAGGACCAAGTATTGAGCCCTGCGGAACGCCCATCTTAATTTTCGATCCAGGGGATCTTTTGCCATTGATATCAACCCTCTGTACTCTGTCAGTCAAGTATGAGACAATAAAATCCAATGAGTTATCTCTAAATCCATAAAAATGCAGTTTCCTAATCAATGTTTCATGAAAAACACAATCAAATGCCTTAGATAGGTCACAGAAAACACCTAACGCATCATGTGAATCCTCCCAGGCATTAAAAATTTCTTGTATTAACTCGACACCGGCTTCGGTTGTCGAGCGACCCCTTGTAAAACCAAATTGTTGTCGATTCATAAGCTTATTCTTGTAAAAGTACGTTTGTATTTGATCCAGCATGATTTTTTCAAAAATCTTACTAAACGTAGGTAGCACGGATATAGGTCTAAAGTTAGTAGGGTCAGATGTGCTACCCGATTTATGTAAAGGAATAATTTTACTATATTTCATGAGCTCAGGAAAAATACCACAATCAGTACATTCATTAAATATATAAGCTAAGATTGGAGCTATTGTCTCAATTACCGATTTAGAAACTTCAATGGAATTACCCCATAAATCAGCAGTTTTCGTTTTCTTTAGCTGATTAAAAGATTTTATTATATCTTTAAAATCAATGTGTTGAAACTTAAATTGGCTATTAGAATTATTTAAACTTGCCTTTAAAATAGATTCAGTAACAGTGGAAGAGGAATTCAAAGATTGTGTAATTAAGACTGGAATTTCATTAAATAAATTTTCAAATACTGTAGCAACTTCAAGATCTGATGTTACTTTTTTATTATCAATGTTTAAATTAAAATTTATATTCCGGGATTTTTCTCTTCCAGTTTCACTATTTATGATATTCCACGTCATTTTAACTTTGTCTTTACTATTTTCAATTTTTGCATTTAAATAATTACATTTGGCTAAACGACACACTTTTTTAAATAATTTAGAGTAATTTCGTACATATTCTTTGAAGTCCTCACTTGTGTTGTAATTACGTTCATCATATAGTTCATAGAGCTTTTTTCTGCTTTTGTAGATTCCTGGTGTAGCCCACACACTAAAAGTTATAGTGTTGTGGTAGGGCAACACTAATGACAGCCCGCGCATATTATATTGTCGGTTAGAGATTATCGATGGAACTATGGAGGCTGGCTTGGCTAGGTTGTACTTTGTGAGTAGTGTGTTTGTTACAATAATAATAAAAGCTAATTCCTTGAATGTCGAGTTAATCATTTCTACATGGTGGCAGCGGTGTTATTAAATAATAATAAACATGGAGGCTAATCCAAGCAGGGAGGAGTCGAGACCTGTTAAACTTTTGATACCCATGCAAAATGTCAGCCCGCCGGAAGAATTTTCATTTGAAAGCAAAGATTGGCAAAGTTGGAATAAAAGGTTTGAGCGTTATTTAAGTCTAAGTGGTGTAGAGAGAAACGATAAAGATAAAATTGATTTGTTTTTATACGTACTGGGTGGAAAAGCAGAACAGCTTGTGAGACAACTAAAAGTGGAAAACTGTGAAAAGTATGTTGAAGTACATTCAGCTTTTGATAATTATTTCACACCCAAGAAAAATGTGGTTCATGAACGATATAAATTTAATATAAGAAAGCAAAAAGAAGGTGAAAAGATAGAGGACTTTGTTCGAGGGCTAAATATTTTAGCTGACTCCTGTAATTATGGTACATTAAGAGATGAGTTGATAAGAGATCGTTTAATAGTAGGGGTTGCAGATAGGAAATTAAGTGAACGATTGCAACTCATACCAGAGCTGAGTCTAGATGATGCAATAAAATTATCAATGCAAGCAGAAGAACAAAGGGAGGAAGCCAGATTGATGTGGAGACGTGAAGCAGAAGAAATGCAAATAAACAAAATAGCAAACAATACAGGCACTAAGGTGAACGAGGATGGAGGAAGAAAATGTTGGTGGTGTGGAGGAGCAATGCATAAGCGGGAGAAGTGTCCAGCGTTTAAAGTCAATTGCTATAAATGCAAGAGAGTAGGACATTATTCTCGTTGTTGTCGAGACTGGAAAAGGATAAACAATATAAATGAAGACGAGTTTAAGGTACTAGTATATCTGTCTTTAGGAGAAGGTTTTACTAAAGTTAGTTTTTTAATTGATACGGGAGCAGACATTGTAGCAATACCAACCCACATTCTTAACAAAAGTATTGTTATTAATAAATGTAAGGATAAAATAAGAGGACCTGATGGAAAACCATTGCAGGTATTAGGGTGGGTGTGTGTAGAGATAAAATATAATGATAAGGTGTATAGTGGTAGAGCCTATGTTATTGAAAATTTAAAATCTCCTATTTTGGGACGGCCTGCTATCAAAATAATGAATATTTTAAGTTTGTGTAATATGTACAAAAATAACAGTGTTGATAAATCAGAACCAGATAATAAGATAAAGGAGGGCAAAGAATTTGTTGATATTATTCGTGAATTTCCAGAAGTGTTTAATGAATTGGGTGTGTTTAAAGATTCTTTTACTATAACATTGGTTGATAATCCAAAACCATTTGTGCAGACAACACCACGAGTTGTACCAATTCCATTATTAAATAAAGTAAAGGGAGAGCTAGATAGACTAGTTTCTATAGGCGTACTGTCTCCTATTGAGGAGCCCACATTATTTGTGTCACCAATAGTAGTAGTTCCTAAAGATAATGGGGGGGTTAGAATATGTGGAGACTATACTCAATTGAATAAAAATGTTAAAAGGCATATTTTTCCTATACCTAAAGTAGAGACTACATTGGGTAGGTTAAAGGGTGCAAAGTTTTTTTCTAAAATTGAT